GGGGAACACACCGCGGGGTGGGGGTGTGACAGCCCCGACACAGACCGACACAGACCCCGAGGCAAACACCTGCCCGGGCACTGACGCCCTCTGCCCCGCCCACAGCACCGGCTTCTCCCCGAGGGCTGCCATCTTCCTGATGTGCCAACACCACCCGATGTGGACAAGTGCCTCGGGTCCATTCTTTCCAATAAACAAAGGTCAAAGGTCAACAGAATCAAAAGCTGTGGAAGAGTGTCCTTCAGCTCTCCGAGGCCCTCCTCCTCGTTGGCTGGCTTTACGTCTTGCCCAGTTCTTCACTCCTGAGGCCAAGGAGCAGGCACCAAGCAGAGCCCCGAGGCTACAGGGGGCTTCAATTCTGGGGTGGGAGCCGGTGAGGCCGAGCCCCACAGAGAGGGGAACATGAGGAGAGGCAAGAGCTGAGAGACACGAGTAGACGGGCAGGAAGGAGCCGGGAGCGTAGGCGCTCCTGCATGGGCATGGTGCCCGTGGGCGTGCTTGTCAAAGCAAAGACTCCCATGCCTGGACCCATCACAGGCAGGGACCCGGCAACACCCTCGGCCAAATCCGGCAGCCCTGGCTCATGGTCCCCAGGCCTGCACAAAGACCCACACGGGGTCAGGGACGGTGCTGCAGCTGCCTCTGTCCACACACCCAGGGCAGACCTTAAAGACCTGGCCTCTGCCATCTCCTGTACCTGCTGGCAGCACCCTGGCCAGGGTCAGGCACGCTCACATTCAGCTTCTCTCCCCCACTCGCCCCTGAGCAAGCATGTGGCTCAGTCACAGTGTCCCCCAAACACAAGGAACAACCGAGAGGTGATTGAGAAGGGCTGTCCGGGTGGGCACACTCAGTACCTCCGGGGACCGAGAAGGGCTGTCAGGGTGGTCACGCTTGGTACTCCCGGGGATGGAGAAGGGCTGTCCAGGTGGGCGCACTCAGTACCCCCGGGGTCCGAGAAGGGCTGTCCGGGTGGATGCGCTCAGTACTCCCAGGGACGGAGAAGGGCTATCAGGGTGGGTGTGCTCAGTACCCCCGGGGACCGAGAAGGGCTGTCAGGGTGGGCGCACTCAGTACCTCCGGGGACCGAGAAGGGCTGTCAGGGTGGGCGCACTCAGTACCCACTGCAGGGTTTACACCTAGACCCTCCCCTGCCCACTTCTGACACAGCACACCACAAGTCCCTTTTCCCAATGAACAACTCAAAAATGGTGAGAGAGGGAGGCCTCTCCTGGAGCAAGAAACAGAAGACAAGAGCTTCCCCCACACCTCCCCGGGCCCTCCAGGCACCCCCTGGCAGGACACAGGTGCTCAGGTCACCCGGCACCCCTGGGTTCCATCTTGCCCTCCTCCAGAGTCTAAGCAACTTTACATGGAGCTTCTCGAGGAAACTTCCAGGCTGCGCAGTCCTGACCTGTTGGCTACGGGAGCCCCACCCGCCCGTCTGGCACACAGGAGGGTCTGGTGCCTGGGCATCAAGGCACGACCTCCACCTTGGTTGGCAGGAGCCCAGACTCAGTGATCTCGGCATCCTCCACCCTTGAACGCGTGTACGAGACGTGACGTGTACGAGAAAAGTCTCTGGCCCAATTTAGAAACTGATGCCACTAGAAATATAAGTCAGAGCCCACTGGTGGCATGGTGGTGAAGGCAGCTGGGTCCCACATGGATGACCACAGTTCACACCTTGGACCCGGTGCTTGAAAATCGCTAAGGGCGCAAGTACACGAGTGTCTCTAAGGAGTGTGCGCTGTACGGCAAACACCTTCTTCAAAAGCTATTTATACTGGCCTACCTTGCTACGCGTGCTCCCTGATGAACCAAAGGAAACACCATTACCTAGTGCTCGACTCCAACAGTAACTTTTTTTAAGAGAGAGATTTCTGCTGTAGGGCATGTGTGCTCACCAGAGAGACCGAGAGGGAAAGCAAGAAATCACTCCCCAGGAGGATGGCCACGCTGCAATCCCTTCTCCTCCATCCTCTTCTTCAGATTTTGGGCACACAAGCCCAGCAGGTGTTTTAAGGCACTGGGTCTGGGACTTGAACTGAGGTTGCCTACATGGGAGTCCAGTATAATGATGTAACCGGTATGTCACCTGCTGGTCCCCAACATCACCTTTCTCTTTTTAATAAAGAGGGTGTGGGGAACCAGCAGTTAGCGTAATGGCTATGTCGCTGGACTCCCACGTAGTCGACCGCTGTTCACGTCCCGGACCCGGTGGCTTAAAACTCACGTCGGGCGCGTGTGCGTATGTGCCCAAGATCCTGAGAGGAGGATGGTGGAGGAGGGATTGCGGGGCCATCCCCCCTGGGGGGTGATTTCTCGCTTTCTGTCTCTATGTCTCTCTCTGTCTGTCTGGCGAGCGCACGCGCCCTATAGCGAAAAAAACCCCTCCAAAAAAAGAGGGTGTGGAGCGGCAGGTGTGGTGGTTGAGGTGTCTGGACCACAGTTCAAATCCCAGAATCGGCAGCTTGCTTTCTCACTTTCCTTCTCTGTCTCTGTCTGGCCAACTTCAAAAAATTAAATAAAAATAATGACAATGAATAAAATTAAATAAATTAATTACTTTAAAAAAAAAAAAAAGGACGTGAACTGGCACTGGAACTTGCAAAGCCAATCCAGATCCACAGCTGCCAACAACCCCGAGGAGCCACTGCCACTGGATGGTCTCCCACCAATGAGGCCACAAAGCCCCCGGGAAGACCTGCCCTCCTGCGTGGCCTGAACTGGAGTCTCTGGGAAGGTGAGGGCGGCCATGTCTGGGGAGCTGGAGCACAGCTTCTGTGTAGGTGTGTGTCTGTGCTCAGGCGGCCGCTCAGGAATAGCCACCTCCACTTCCTTATGCCCAAGACCAGGCCTGCAGGCTGGAGAGACGGGCCCGAGTTGCAGGGCAGCCTCACAGGCCAGCACAGATGGTTCTAGACCCCACACCACCACCAGCCACCTAGCAGCATGTCGGGGGGCAGCCCAGATCCACCCAAGGCAAGCACAGAAATAACACCCAGACGGGACAAGCGACGTGGCGTGGATCGAAGGTGCCATAGCAAGGCCCCTCAGCACGAAAGTGGTCCCTACGCCCAGTCTAAGCTGTTCATCCTCCGCCGTAAGCGACCCAAGAAAAAATTAAAATAATGAATGATATTCCTAACAACGCAAAGGTATCAGAGGACCCTCAAGCATTCCATTTTAAACCCAGCACTTTTACGCCAGGAGGAGTCAAGGAAGGCAGCCTGCCCTCAGACTCTGCAACTGGAGACAGCAAAGGAAACTCCAGGGCCTCGGGGGGCCCTCATGGGAGAGCCTTGTCTCTTCAGTCCACATCCCACAGGCAGAATGACGGTCACGCTCAACAGCAACTGCGTTTACGGTTCAGCGAGGTGACAGGCGGCAGGGGAGGCCTTGGGCTGTGCCTGGGTTGTGGCCAGGGGCTGGGAGGCACCTCACCCCGTCACTGAGCCCGGCACGCTTTGAGGCCCTAACACTCATGGCCAAAGGCCGGCAGCACTCCGCTGCCCTTCCCCCTGCCCCGACCCTGCCAAGCAGCTCCAGTGAGGACCTGTGCCCACCGGTGGAGCTTCCTGACTGCTCACTGCCCTGCAGAGGGGGCAACCCCGGGACTGCGGTTCGGCT